TAATTAGAAGGACAGGAGTCCGACTAGTTTAACAGGGGCTTTGCTCGTCGACGAAGTCGATGAGTAAAGGTCGAGACTATAGGCTTATCCGCGAGGAGCAGATAAGAAGATAGAATATAGACTGCTGGCGAGGCAGAAGGATCACTCTGGTGAGAGTAGGAGGTCAAGAACCAAGTAGATTCAAGTTAGGGAATATAGTACATGGTAGCGAGTTTATATAGAGGACAGGAGACGTATTAGTGGATGATACTCGTACTACCGGGAGAGGCAACTGGTAAAGGGTGAAACCATAATAGGAAGGCACGTTCGGTCTAGGTGGAACGTGCTAGATAAGAAAGTGAGTCAAAGATCGAACTAAGAAGTGAAACACGCAGGGGCACGATCGTGCAGCTGCGGATCTAAGTATAAGTCGCATGTGCGACTGCGCACCGAGTCAGAGATCAAGAAAGGGAACAGGGCAAAGGGGATGCGTCGTGCATCATGTCATAGGTTACCGTCCAGACGGTAAGGGCAAGGGGACTGTCCGCAGGATCAGTCAGGTGGTGAAACGGAGCATGGGTATGCTTCGTCAGCGAAAGGATCCGGCCAAATGTACTGGCTTTGCTGAAGCGACAGGTAGAGGGCGAAAGGAATGCGAGGATGACGAGGATGACAAGGGTAAGGTCGGGGTAAGGGTATGATGCAAGGGCTGATACGAGGAGGATTAGGAGAAAAATAGTAGGGGCCCAAGCGTCTAGATGTTCTTGTAACAGTATGGCGCCCTTGCACTTCCATTGTGTATCGGTGCTTTTTCCTACTGTAATCAACACTCTCCTTCCTTGCTCACTCAAGGCACTCATGCAGCTTAGACTTGTAGAGTACCAACAAACAACATCAAACACCTCATGAAGGAGAAAGTCAATAGGAATTGATACGCGGAAAGCCTTTATGTAGTCCTGTACCTCATAAGATCCATCATGAAATGTTATCACGAGTCCCTAGTACCATGCTCCTTTCACCAAAGTCATCAACTTTGCCACCAGACTCTCTCTCATCTGACATTGTTTGGAACAACCAATAACCTGACCCAGCCTGCAGAGGTGAAGCAGCAGGGGGTATTACATGAGACCACACCTTTCGACTGCCTGCACTAGAGGTACCAAAATCACATTATAGTTGGAAAAAATTGCAGTACATGTTGCACTGGTGCTTCTCCGCAAAAGATGCAAATGCAGATGCCAAGTTTCCATCCGCAAACAGGTGTCCTGAAAGATCACTGATAATTGTTGTCAGTCTCTCATCAATTAGGTTAGTGGTAAGATTTACGGTGAGGTCATAATCTGAGGATCAGTCAAAATATTCCTTCCACCTGTCGAGGAACAATGATCAGCTAGGTGCAAATATACAAAATAAAGACAAGCCTTGAAAATCGGCGACATAAGCAAGTTTCTTTGTCTTGATATATTGGACGTGTTGCACAAATGACAGGTACTGGGCTATTTCACTTGATCTAGCATCGAGGTGTTGCAGTGGGGAAGGTGAATCATTGGATATGTACTTGGTGAATTTCCCATGTGTAGACTCATCAATGAACTCTTCAATCAGATAAGTGCGAGTAACACTAGCGTCCTCAATAGTGGCAAGAGCAATGTGTACGAAGCAGATATTTGTAATATTGAAGGGAGGGGTGCCACAAGTCACTAGCTCCGTGGCGACATATTGCTGAACCTGGTCCATAAGTGCTCCTGCCCATATGCTGCATCTAATTTCTGGCTGCAGTAAGTGTAGTTGTCAAGAATTGGGATAAGGAAACTGCTTGGACTTGTCAGTTTGGTAGTAACACTGCTTTAAGCAGATGCAAGTTGAGTCAGATCCAGACGGTCCAAGGATAGCCTTCTCAAGAAAGCCAAATTGTGCTGCTTTGAATGCTCCATACTTGGGCTTGCTTTGGGGATTGAAAAAAAGTGTTGCTTGCATTGGAGGGATGGTCATATTTGGGACATCAGAAGCACTTGGATCAGCAATCAAAGCAGAAAGTGATATTGGTGGGATAATCCGTAGCAGTGCCTTGAATGTGCGAAGAGTGACTGTAGTAGTGCACGATGGTGAGTGTTACATGTAATGAAACCGAATGTCGCTCACAAGAGGTTAAGTTTGGTTGGGATATAGGTGTAGCTTGTGCTTGAAGTGCGTGACGAATTGCGATAATGTCTGGAGATACAACTGCAACATCCAGAGTCCGAAGCTTTTGAGGGGGTGTTGATGGGGGCATCTCATATGTTTGAGCAGGGAGTCCCACTGCACGAACCATAAGTTGGGATTCTGCCACATTAAATGAAAGTTGGTATTCAATATACCAATGCAACTCTACTCAAGTCTAATGACTCACTTCTACACTGTGCCTCTGCAGTCTGCTTGTGAATCATAGCACTTTCCCCTGCATCACTTATTTTTTTGGTGGTGAACTTGGAGTGCTGGTATCGGCTGCATTTTTTACAATGCCATTTGTCAAGCTTCCTCGGGTAGGGATTAGCATGGGTATACCCTGGGGTACATGCATTGACACCCACACCCACACCCACCAATATACCCACACCCATACCTGTACCCATGGAGGGTATACCTGGGTGTGTCATTGAATTAGTACTACGAAAACAGCAATTGTAGCTACCCTAACTGTATTTGGTCCTATCCTTCCTCAAGTTCTAGCTCCTCGTCACCTACAACATCCGCGAGGTTGCTAACAGCTAAAATGTCTTCGTTCTTCACCAGACCCAGCCAGCTCCAGTAACTCAAGCACAAGAGGGCGCGAGTGGACTGCACATTTAAGTGAGAACGGACATGCAACAGGACGAGGTGGCCATGGCTGAAGAGCCGTTCAACATCCACTAAAGTAGCTGTAATCAATGTTAGAAATCATTCGAAACAAGTAGGTTGCTTTTACCTTCTTTGGCTGTGTGCTGTCCACACTGGCACTGTCATCATTCTTTCTCTTTTTTGATTTGGCCTCGAGCTTCTCGTCAAGTGCAGCCTTGGCTTTCCCAGTTAGTTTGGTAATCCATTTAGCGGCAGAATGAAAGGGGTTTGGCTGCATGACAGTAGGATTGTTACGACTGGGATAGTTCTTCTGTCAATGGTCAAAGATAGACCAGTCAAGTTGACAGTTCGTCGAGCCTCCTAGTACAAGGAGGGTTCTGGTTCAAGGGTTTACACTAGACGAGCACGGCGGCCTCTGTCTAGGATTGGCGGCGAGTGGTTTTAGCACTTCTGCCTAGGCGGTGAGTGGTTTTAGCACTTCTACTGCAATCAAGGGTTCAGGCTAAGGACAGTGAGTGACTGCCTTAGAATCAGGTATCAGGCTACAAGGGTGGAGACCTTGTAGATCAGGATTCAAGGGGAAAACCCAGTAGATCAAGTTAAGGAATACAGCTATGGTACATGGGGTTTATATAGGTAAAAGGGAGTGGCGCAGCTGCGTCAAGAAAGGTAACAAAGATAGGAAAATAGTACAACCTATCATGATAGCAAAGATAGGTGAAACAACCATGCAGCGCATGATAGTATCTATGTTACAATCAAGAAGAAGAGAAGTGCGGACAGCCCGCTTGATAAAGGAATAGCCAAGTCTAGAAGAGTCTAGAGTCGGCGCTATGGTTACAAAAGAAGAAAAATGAATAGGGTTAAATGTTATTGTAACAAGGATGTGTTTGTGATTTAGAGTTTAGAGTTAGAGTTTGCAATACTATTTGTATGTCTTTGGAGCTCTGGAGTTGGTAAAATATATATCTGCTTACTAAACCCACACCCACAACCCATGTGGGTTTCATATACCCATGCTAATCCCTATCCTCGGGTCTTTGTGCTCAATATAAGTGACAGCAGGTATAGTGCCAGGCTGACCACTAAAGCAGTTTGCATACTTGCAATAGTGTTGATCGGCATTGGTGGTGAACTCTGCAGCATACATGATGATCACAGTACTTTTTAGGGGATTCAAGTTTAAATTCTAACCGTCAGATTCAAATATTACTGCTACTACAGAATGTTTCAACCTCATAATGTATATATCAATATTCATATCTATGATGTCGTGATGTCACTACTATGCGACCTTGATGTACTGTAATGTGGTGAGCAGGGTGATTGGGTGGCTGGACCAAACACTTGCCGTTTTAGTCAAGCTGATCACTGTCATTGATAAAGTTGCCGCAGTCCAGTTCTGAACCCACAGAACCGGTTCCAAACCTTGAACCGGACCGTGGTTTGGTCCAGTAACGGTTAGGGTTCGGGAGGTCCAGAGGTGGTTGGGTTCATGGTTCAGAGATAAGTGGAATTTGAGAACCATACATGGACCTGTTCGAAACGTGACCGAACCACTATAGATATTTTTAAAAAAGGTAAACAGAGTCTGTCTACCAGTACTGTAGGTTAGTCTGTAACTGTACAGTTGTAATATATCAGTGGCTGAGTAACTACCGAGTGCTGAATACTAGTGTTACGCATTGTTAAATCACACTAGTATGGATTGTTACAAGAACATCCAGACGCTTGGGCCCCTACCATTTTTCTCCTCATTCTCCTCGTATCAGCCCTCGCATCATACCCTTACCCCGACCTTACCCTTGTCATCCTTGTCATCCTCGCATTCCCTTTCGCTCTCTACCTGTCGCTTCAGCAGAGCCAGTACATCTGGCCGGATCCATTTGCTGACGAAGCATACCCATGCTCCGTTCCACCACCTGACTGATCCTGTGGACAGTCCCCTTGCCCTTACCGTCTGGACGGTAACCTATGACATGATGCACGACGCATCCCCTTTGCCCTGTTTCCTTTCTTGATCTCTGACTCGGTGCGCAGTCGCACATGCCACCTATACTTAGCTCCGCAGCTGCACGATCGTGCCCCTGCGTGTTTCACTTCTTATCTGATCTTTGACTCACTTTCTTATCCGCACGTTCAGGACTCACCCGTGTCTCACCTCGAACGTGCCTTCCTTTTATGGTCATACCCTTTACCATTTACTTCTCTTGGTAGTACGAGTTATCATCCACTAATACGCTTCCTATCCTCTATATAAACTCGCTACCATATAACATATTCCCTAACTTGAATCTACTTGGTTCTTGACCTCCTACTCTCACCAGAGTGATCCTTTCTGCCTCGCCAGCAGTCTATATTCTATCTTCTTATCTGCTCTTTGCGGATAAGCCTATAGTCTCGATCTTTACTCATCGACTTCGTCGACGAGCAAAGCCCCTGTTAACTAGTTGGACTTCTGTCCTTCTAATTAACGACGATCTTATGATTAACCTTCAGGTGTCATAAGCCTAGGCCGATATAGCTTATTGTCTCGCACCCGCTTGACATAAGCTACCCGATTTGGACATAGGCGTCAAATCTTACTTGCCAAAGCCTTGCCAAGTAAGACCCCTAACCTTGGGCTAGCCCAAGGACGTCCTCGACCGTTGACGACACACGCTCTGTTTGAGCATCGCCAACAGATACCATCCAAGTCGTAACATGGATGGTCAGCGTGCAGTGAACATGGATGGGTCACTCAAAGCATCAGGAAATTCTCACATTCCTTAATCTTTTTAATCAGCTTAACCTACTTATCTCAAAACTTGTTTGCTCTCTCTCACATTATTTACCTGTTACGACTTGGATGGTATCTGTTGGTGACGCTCAAACAGAGCTTGTGTCGTCAACGGTCGAGGACGTCCTTGGGCTAGCCCAAGGTTAGGGGTCGTACTTGGTGGGTCTTCGGCAAGTACGATTTGACGCCTATGTCCAAATCGGGTAGCTTATGTCACGCGGGTGTGAGACAATAAGCTATATCGGCCTAGGCTTACAACACCCAAAGGTTAATCGTAAGGATCGTCATTAATTAGAAGGACAGAAGTCCAACTAGTTAACAGGGGCTTTGCTCGTCGACGAAGTCGATGAGTAAAGATCGAGACTATAGGCTTATCCGCAAAGAGCAGATAAGAAGATAGAATATAGACTGCTGGCGAGGCAGAAGGATCACTCTGGTGAGAGTAGGAGGTCAAGAACCAAGTAGATTCAAGTTAGGGAATATGTTACATGGTAGCGAGTTTATATAGAGGATAGGAGATGTATTAGTGGGTGATAACTTGTACTACCAAGAGAAGCAATCGGTAAAGGGTATGACCATAAAAGGAAGGCACGTTCGGTCGATGGAGAACGTGCTAGATAAGAAAGTGAGTCAACGATCAGAAATAAGAAGTGAAACGCGCAGGGGCACGATCGTGCAGCTGCGGATCTAAGTATAAGTCGCATGTGCGACTGCGCATCGAGTCAGAGATCAAGAAAGGAAACAGGGCAAAGGGGATGCGTCGTGCATCGTATCATAGGTTACCGTCCTGACGGTAAGGGTAAGGGGACTGTCCACAGGATCAGTCAGGTGGTGGAACGGAGCATGGGTATGCTTCGTCAGCAAAAGGATCCGGCCAGATGTACTGGCTCTGCTGAAGCAATAGGTAGAGGGCAAAAGGGAATGCAAGAATGACAAGGATGACCAGGGTAAGGTCGGGGTAAGGGTATGATGCAAGGGCTGATACGAGGAGGATCAGGAGAAAAATGGTAGGGGCCCAAGCGTCTAGATGTTCTTGTAACATTACCTGGCATATTTCATATTTCTCTAGTGTGAAGCATAATAAAACATATATATCAATATACCTCAACATTTCCTTTCTGAATATATTCAAGTTGAAATGTTGGACAAGTAGATCCACCTTTCAACAAGACACTTAAGTGTATTAAGTCTGTTTAAGGACAAATAAAGTAATGTGAGAATTTCCTGATGAAGACCCCCACGACATAGAATGGGAATATTCCCCAACACAAAAAAGCTCACCAGAACAGCAAGCATCAACAATTTTTACATGGTGGAAGGTACATTCTCGTATTATATCATTTTCAACACCTATCTACACTCAACATCATTACCAGACTAATGCTCCCTGTTTTCCCATCCTGAGTCGCACCGCACTTGATTATGTTACAAGAACATCTAGACGCTTGGGCCCCTACCATTTTTCTCCTGATCCTCCTCATATCAGCCCTCGCGTCATACCCTTACCCCGACCTTACCCTTGTCATCCTCGTCATCCTCGCATTCCCCTTCGCTCTCTACCTGTCGCTTCAGCAGAGCCAGTACATCTGGCCGGATCCTTTTGCTGATGAAGCATACCCATGCTCCGTTCCACCACCTGACTGATCCTGTGGACAGTCCCCTTACCCTTACCGTCAGGACGGTAACCTATGATACGATGCACGATGCATCCCCTTTGCCCTGTTTCCTTTCTTGATCTCTGACTCGATGCGCAGTCGCACATGCGACTTATACTTAGATCCGCAGCTGCATGATCGTGCCCCTGCGCGTTTCACTTCTTATTTCTGATCGTTGACTCACTTTCTTATCTAGCACGTTCTAGCTCGACCGAACGTGCTTTCCTGTTATGGTTATACCCTTTACCAATTGCCTCTCCTGGTAGTACGAGTTATCACCCACTAATATGTCCCCTGTCCTCTATATAAACTCGCTACCATGTACTATATTCCCTAACTTGAATCTACTTGGTTCTTGACCTCCTACTCTCACCAGAGTGATCCTTCTGCCTCACCAGCAGTCTATATTCTATCTTCTTATCTGCTCTTTGCGGATAAGCCTATAGTCTCGATCTTTACTCATCGACTTCGTCGACGAGCAAAGCCCCTGTTAACTAGTCGGACTTCTGTCCTTCTAATTAATGACGATCCTTACGATTAACCTTTGGGTGTCGTAAGCCTAGGCCGATATAGCTTATTGTCTCACACCCGCGTGACATAAGCTACCCGATTTGGACATAGGCGTCAAATCGTACTTGCCGAAGACCCGCCAAGTACGACCCCTAACCTTGGGCTAGCCCAAGGACATCCTCGACCGTTGACGACACAAGCTCTGTTTGAGCGTCACCAACAGATACCATCCAAGTCGTAACAGATTATTTACCTGTGCAAGGTTCCTCGGTACCATGTGAACGAGCATTTTCGGACGCAGGACTTACAGATACAAAACGGTGTGCAAGATTGCTTCCCGAGAACTTTGGCGACATTCAGACAGTGAAAGGCAGATACAAGCGGGAACGAAGGCACAGAGACACAGAGAAAGCTGACAGGGAGGCTGCGGAGAGGAGACGATGGGCAGAAGACTCCGTTTGTGAGGTGCAAAAACAGAAAGATGGTCGTTCAGCGCTGCGGGAGCTCGAGTAGTAAAATTTTCACAAAAAATTCTATTTTGTATCAGTGAAGGGTCTGGAACCGGTTCGAACTCGAACAGAACCATACCAGACCAGTCCATTGGCGAACCTATAATCCTGGTTCGGGTTCGAGGGTGAGGAAACAATGCTACTTGGTTTGAGTTCGAGTTCGACCAAAATCTGCTCGAACCGGACCTGAACCGGACTGCGGCAACTTTAGTCGTTGACCTGATCACTCCCGCTTTCCATAAATTCTAAGGTCATTACATAATATGTAAGTATGATTTGGTTGGAAATTACCCTGCTTCGTTCAAGAGTCCGTACTATATGTACTACGCGCGTATGGTACGCTACCAGTCTGAGAACTCAAGGCAGCATTAACGGTGTCAATGTCAGACAGCCTGCGTGTACTATCTACGTGGCGCGTGCAAGTACGGTGATAGATGTCGCAACGAACATCCAGCGGATAGAGCACAACAAGGTGGTTTTGGGAGTACTAGTACATCGTCTCGACTTTCCCCGGGCTTTCCTTTCATATTCTCACACATAACGATTAGATCAAGTTGGACCAAACAATAATTCAAGAGAAATGACAGTTCCATATACGTAAGTTGTCCAGGATCTATGATGCAAGAAGGTCGACATATAGTCCAATCTGTTAACACATGGTTTGTAGCATTGAATCCATAGAAAAAGACATCACCTCTCTACAAGATAAGCCTTTATGGCCGATATCATCCTATGGGGCTGCAAAGTATGAGCCGGTGGTTATCAGTGGACTGGACGAGTCGCCTGAGGAACTTCGTGTGAAGGCAGTGACTGCATTGAAGGCAGTGACTGCATTGAAGGCAGTGACTGCATTGAAGGCAGTGACTGCATTGAAGGCAGTGACTGCATTGAAGGCAGTGACTGCATTGAAGGCAGTGACTGCATTGAAGGCAGTGACTGCATTGAAGGCAGTGACTGCATTGAAGGCAGTGACTGCATTGAAGGCAGTGACTGCATTGAAGGCAGGGGCTATCAACGAGTATGTGCGTACTAGAAATAAGGAAGGATATCCTTCTTTAATGACTCATCAATTTACCTATAGATCCACTATGAGTCAGGCAGAATAGCAGCCTCAGAGCAGGCGTACAACAGCGCCAGGAGCAACATTCAACAGTTGCATGACGCTGCTTTCAAATTGAGCAAGGGAGCAGCCTTTGTACTCATTTTCATTTATTTATTTCTACCACACCATTAATCCCATTTTTGCAGTCTAGCGCGCCCTCTTTTACCACGAGTCGATTCACTAATGAGGCCCCACCAAATGCGCAACGGAGCCTCCTTTCCTACTCTCTGTCAAGTCCATCTATCGATTTCGCTCATCACACAGGGTTTGAGCCCTGGACTGACAGACACATCAAAACCTCTCACGTACAGCCTCCCGACATGCAGTCGTCACATAATAAGATGTGGGGGCAACATCATGAAGTAGGATTCAACCCACTGCACCAGGGCACACCGAATTTCAACGGAGGATCTGCGGCATATCTCCCAAGTAGAATACTATCGCCTGACGTAGTTCCTCCCCACCTACCACAGATACCTTCTTCTACAGTGGGTTCACAGCTACCCCAGTTACCCCCAGACCCTCGTGAGCCCCTTCCCTCCTCTTCCCACATGCATGCAGTCATCTCTGTTCATGATGATGAGTCTCACAATCTCCCCCCTGAAGTAATGCTCCAAGACCTCTCAAAATATATCACCAAGGATGGAGACTATCCTGTTACTCATGGCGTGTTCGGGGAGATCTGGAAATGCACTTTTCACATCGGTCATAGCTCCGACAAAGTTCGTCTGCCGTCTTTTGTATGTCCATCTGTCTAAAATTAATCATTTTGCAGGTTGCAGTGAAAGCATTGCAGGTGTATGCAGACGATCAACATGGAACAGGAATGACGAAAAAGATTGAGGCGAGTATCTTACCGAAGGACTGAGTCTATCACTTACACCACAGGGCGCGCTTCATAGAGGATCAAGCGTGAACTCAGGATATGTGCCAACCTCAAGCATGCGAATGTTCTACACGTTTATGGTTATACGCATAACTTTGGCCCATTTCCAGCGATAGTCACTCCTTGGGCGGAGAATGGTAATCTGACAGTCTATTTGGAACGTGAGGGTGCGGCTCTGACTCTCGTTCGACGATTTCAACTGGCAAGTCGTCTCTTCATGTATGTTGGGTAGACCAGAAAACTGATGGAAAATTTAGCTAAGAGATATCATAGCTGGCCTGCAATATCGTATGTGATAGACTTTGCTGTTGCTGGACCGAGCTTCAAGTACTCCTCATAGTTCACGTTAACAGTGTCATCCACGGTGACTTCAATGGAGTGAGTTCGATCTTCTCGATAGTTACAATTTAATTGAGATGCGAACTCCAGCCTAATGTGCTCATCCGTGGTGACGGCACTGCATGTATTGCTGACTTCAGTCTTTCCTTGATGTATTCCGAGGTCATAAGTGCCTCTCAGGCTTCTTGGACGTCCACACTCAAAGGAAACATGCGATGGATGGCTCCTGAACTTCTTGTACTAGAGCAGGAAGATGGATCTCCAACTCGTCCGAGCGAGCAGAGCGACATATTTTCGTTCGGCGGTATCATGTTGCAGGTACGTCTGGAGGACTCTCGACTTATCGATGGCATCATGAAGTTTTCCTTTAGGTCCTCAGCAACAAAATTCCTTATTATTACCTCGCGAATGATGCTGCCATTGTACTATGCATAGCTAGGTCGGAGAAGCCTTTCCGATCTCGTTATCCTGAGCTC